CCGCGCTCTCGGCGTCCGAGTCGACGCGCTGGGTGTCGCTGTGGACGCGACACTCCGCGTTGCGCCAGCAGCGACGTACCGCACTAGGTCGGTCCACGACAAGGTGCGCGCGATTGGTTTTTATCGGCATTTGCACGGGTCGGCCCACGTGCCCATGAAGTACCCAGACCCGATCGCTTCGCCGTGGCCGACGCGGCTCCGCGGTGTCCGACTCGTCGTTTTTGTGCAAAGCCTTCGCTATCAGCCGCGGCCATTCGACCCGATGCTCGAGGCGCAGCTCAAGCTCATTGGCTTCTCGTGGCCGAGATCAGTGGCCATGTCGCGCTGCGTCAAGCGTACGACGCGCGGTGCGCTTGTTGTCGAGACGGTCCCGATTGCTACGCAGGTCGCAGCGCTTCGCGAGTACCAACGTCTGGTCGGCGACGTGCTTGCGATGTCTGAGGACTTTGCCGTGCCTCTGAACAACTACGCTTGGCCAACTGGCAGCAGCGGCATTGTGCTCTCGTATGTGCTTCCGTCGCTGCGGTATCACTGGTTTGAGCTCAGAGGGCAAGACGAGACAACCGTCCGAGCTTTGGGTCTCTTCACTGACGTTCCGCCCTTTGACATCTTTGTCCAGCTGGCCTTTCGTCTCTCCTGCGATGGCAAGACGACCGTACCGCTGGACTTTGTGGTGCCGATCGAGTGGTCGACGCCGTGGAGTGGCGCACCGCTGGGCGAGCTCGCGTGGTCGCTTGGCGTGCGAATGACGCAACTTGAGAAGAACAAGTCGCAGCAGCTAGCGGCGATCGGCTTCGAGTTTAACACGCCTGCGACGTGGGCGCACATCGTGGACAGGCTACACATGTACCACTCGCTCTATGGCTCGATGGACGTACCAGAGGACTTCCTTGTACCTCAAACTGCCAGTTGGCCGGAAGACATGCACGGTATGCGCCTCGGCCATTGGGTCAAGTTGCTCGTCTCGGCAAGAGAGCTCTACTTGCTGCCGGCCGCGACCACCACCGCAATCGATGCCATCGGAACCGATGCTCCAATGCCAGAAGCTGTGTCAATATCGGTGGGCGTGAACGCGGCGACGCCCGCCATCTCTGCGGCCGCAACGAGTGATACCATCGGAGCCGACGCTCCGCCGCCAGAAGCTGCAACATTGTCAAGCGACGAGAACTCGGCGGCGCCAGCCATCCTTGCCTCGGCAACCACCACCACGGTCGTCCAACTAGCCGCCAACGAAGTCGTCGATGCGCCGTTGCCAGTAGTCGTCGCTGCGCCGTTGCCAGTAGTCGTGTCACCGTTGCCAGCAGATGACCCTCTGCCAAGCGTCGCTCTCGAGCAGCCGGCAGTACAAGCAGCTCCCACGCTCGACGTTGACGCCGACACGAACGAGCGCTGCGACCACCTCGTTGCGCTGGATCTGTGGCTCCACGCGACGCCACGCCCGAGCGATTCGACGCTTCTCGGCTTTGTATCGCCAGCGTGTCCAGTTGCACTGCAACCATTGTCGGTGGGCGCATTTTTGCTCGAGCTCGAGGTCGGACAAGCGTTTACGCATCTGCAGTCGGCCCTCGACGATCGGCAATTCGACCGCCAAGCTCGGTGGGCGATCAAGTTCCAGGCGCTCGCTATGTTCAAGGCGCTCAACGGGCATTTGGACGTACCTCGTGCGTTCACAGTCGATGCCAATGCCACCTGGCCAGCGCCAACACACGGTCTACATGTCGGTGACATTGTGTTTGGGTTGCGCCGCCTCACAACAGCCGAGGTCTTGCCGGTGATTGTTGCTCAGCTTGATGCACTTGGCTTTGAGTGGGTCGCTTTGCCCGTGGCCGTCGCGACCGACGCTGCATTACTATTCGCGCCGGAGCCGCCAGCGTCCATCGTGGAAGCATTGCCAGTGGCTCCCGTGCAAAACGCGACTGCCTCGGCTCGGGGCGCCTCGTCCAGTACTCCCGCCGACGTGAAAGGTGGCTTTGATCGTGACGACGACAAGCAGATCGACAAGACGGCCATCAAACGCAGCAAGCCGAGCAAACGCAAGAGCTACGAAATCATCGATGTCTGCAGCACCGATGACGACGACGACAACGACGGAGACGACGACGCCGGAATCGACTACGGCGTCAAAGAAGAAGACATCATCGGTGCGATGCCGGCGCAGGCGATCCGCACCAACGTCCGCCGCCGCCGCCAAAACAATACGGAGACGGCGTCCGTTCGGCGCCGACTCGCAAATGGGTGGGTCCCACCTCGTGACCACCATGTCTTTATGCCGACACAGCCCATCGACGACGAGTTTCCGTGGCGCAGCTGTCTCGGCGAACTCCGCCGGTTCTTTATCAAGCACGAGCACTCGAACGTCCCGTTCACGTACGTATCGGAAGAGAACAACGTGCCGCTGGGACGCCTCGTGCACCAGCTGCGGCAAAGTCAAATTTACTTGACAGAGTCCCATCTGGACGAACTGCGGGCATTGAAGTTCATGTGGCAGCTTTTCGATTAACGTATTTTACTAGGGTTAACCTCGTGTTTTCTTGGGGCAGGTTTTGGTCGAGCTCTTTAGTTGAGGTTTTGCATTGGGGTAGCGTGCAATCTAGCGGAGGGATTGTGTACTACGTGTGACGTAGTTTGGACTCGTCGGTGGACGGGATCATGTGCATTGAAGTTCAACGTACCCTGCCCCAAACCTCGGGTTTTCTTGGGGAAGGGGTTGATCTCGTCAAACTCGTCGATGGTGCAAATGCCCATGTCGGCCAGCACAAGCGCGCCGCCTTCGAGCGTCATCTCCTTGTGCCGTGAGACCGACGCCACAACTGCCCTTGCCCGTCGTGTGGATGTCTCGGGCTCACGGTCGCAACGTGCTGGAGGAGCTGCCTCTTGGCCACTCTGGGGTCACTTATGAGGAGTACGTTGATGTCATTTTCATGCCTTGGTCCATGCGCTTGGTAACGCTGCCAATCTTCATCACGGCAATAGAGTGCTTTTGCTACCAAGATTTCTTCTTACTTTTCGATTTGGGGAATTTGAGCCGGTTTGTGGAAAGTGAGGAGTGGCTCGACTGTTTTTGCAAAGGCGAAATTTGACATTTCACTGCGAGATCCCTCCTGGCCGTGGAGAATTGGGTCCGGCTCTGGCGGCGTTGTTGCTCGAAATTCCGACCTTCTCGGCGGAGCTCTCTCGACGCACCTCAACGACGACTGGGAGCGCGTGACCGCCGAGATCGCGACCGG